ACATGATATTGTAATCACGAATATGATTCATGGACCATGTGGCAATATCAACCGCCAATCACCGTGCATGGTCGACGGCAAGTGTTCCAAACGGTATCCGCGAAAATTCACGGCAGAGACCATTACAGGCAACGATGGTTATCCGTTGTATCGGCGTCGATCACCCGATGATAACGGAAGAACTATCACAACTAAAGTGAAAGGAATCGATTTCACAATTGACAACAGTTGGATTGTTCCATATTCGCCACTTCTTTCGAAAACATTCAAGGCACATTGTAATGTTGAGTATTGCAATTCGGTCAAATCTATAAAATACATTTGCAAATATGTCACGAAAGGGAGCGACATGGCGGTTTTTGGTATCCAAACATCCAATATCAACGATGAAATCACACGCTATCAAGTTGGTAGATATGTGAACTGCAATGAAGCTATTTGGCGTATATTTTCATTCCCTATTCACGAACGTTATCCCACTGTTGTACATTTAGGGGTGCATCTAGAAAACGGTCAGAGAGTATATTTCACAGCGTCGAATGCTGCTCAACGTGCCCAAACACCTCCAGCGACAACACTGACCAGTTTCTTTGCGATTTGTCAACATGATCCATTCGCACGAACGTTGCTTTACTCGGAAATGCCACGTTATTACACTTGGAACGCCGCATCGAAGAAATTTCAACGTCGGAAGCAAGGTGATGCAGTTCCTGGTCATCCAGATATGCGTTCTGCTGATGCTCTTGGTCGTATTTACACAGTGCATCCAAAGAATGATGACTGTTTCTATTTGCGGTTGTTGCTGGTACATGTTCGAGGGCCAACATCATTTGAATCACTACGAACTGTTAATGGTATAGTGTGCCCCACATTTCGTGCAGCGTGTCAAGAGCTGAATTTGCTTGAAAACGATACTCATTGGGAGACGACAATCGCTGAAGCAATTATTTTTGCATCTCCAAGTCAGATACGCACATTATTTGCAATCATCATTTCAACATGCTTCCCATCAAAACCACGTGACCTGTGGAACAAATATAAAGATAAAATGTCAGAAGACATTTTATATCGAAGTCGTATCAACTCAAGAAATCCCGATCTTGAGGCGAACCAGGAGATGCATAACCAAGCCTTGCTTTTGATCGAAGATATATGTTACCTCATATGCGGCAGTTTGTTAGATAGGTTAGGAATGCC